GATCCATCACATTGAGGGTGCCAACAGCTGTGCAGCGACCTGGTTTAACTCAGAAAGCACCATAAGTTAGACCAACCATCCTGATCCAATAGACAATTGCTGTTGGATCAGGAACGTGGGTGATTGAGCTCCACTTTGGAGCTAATTCAGGAGGAGAGGCTGCTGTCTGCGGCATCTGTCCTCTAGCCCCACACCCCTCTGCAAGCTCCCATGCTCTCTCAGGAAGGGAAGAAGGCCTGTTCTGGGGTTTCCCCACCCTGATCTGGAGTGGGGGGACATGTGGACTGGAGCCACCCAACCTTGGGGGCTCCAATGCACCCGCCCACTCTCCAGTGCTGGCTGTACAACCCACAGACCAAACTCACTCCCCTCCCTTCCCCCTCTCCCATTCTGAAAACAGCGCCTGGAGCAGGATTTGGGCTGCATCAGCCCAGCCCTGCTCCCAGCATGCTCTGACAAATGTTAAAAGAACGCGCTCCATTTTGGAAATGAGGGTTCATGAAAAGAGGGTTCAGACTCTCGTGCAACCAGGCATTATTAAAGTGCTCTGCAGCTGTGCACTTCTGTCAGTGCATGGCTGTAGAGTGCTTTCAGTGGCCAATTGCATGGCAAACCATCACTTCTGTCAGCATTCTGGGTCTTCTCCCTCTCAAGGTAGGACACAGTCACTAACCTGCCACTACATTTGTTCTAAGGCTCTTTGCCACAAGCATGTAAATAAACACTCAGTGCACCGTAACACCACAAGCAGCATATTTGTTTAATTATACATGGGCATAGATTAATAGTAAAAGATTGGAGCCTCATGTCCGTAGGGCCATTTCATAGGGTGTGGAAAGTCCCTATTTCACAGGGATAACAAACCATATTAGAGGGCAAGGGGTGAGCCAGATAATCTGTGCAGAAGGCATGGAAGGAAAGCCTCCTTCAAATGCTGCCTCAGCAGTGAGACATCAAGACGGACTCAGGTAAAAATAGGGACTACAGTTGCTCAATCATGCCTTGGAAGGGCCAAGAACCAGACTACTGGCACCCAGAATGGCTGAAGGTTGTCTGGTGTTTGGACTAGGGGAAGATGGGGAGTCTGACTTTTGACTATAGGGGGATGTAAACAGCAGTTATAGTGGGAGGAGTGGAGAATAGAAGCAAGTGAAGTCAGTAATCAGGAAGGATATCTGGAAGGACAAATAAGGGTAAAGTCCAATCTCAAATACTGGAGAGTAGAACAGAGAAACCCCAAGTGAGATCTGGGCCTCACTGTACCAAGCGGCTCTCAGTTAGTTCAAAACTACAAAGTAAATACCTGCATATAATCAAAATAATCCAAAAAGTGGCCTAATGTTTCATAAATCGAAATGTATGGATACATTTTTCAGCCAAAAAATTTGAGACTCTTCTTAAATTTTTAGGGAGGAAATACACTCTCACCATTGAGACCCAGTACTGACAAGAAGTAGACTTGAGTTTATATTCCTGGCTCTGCCACAAACTTCCTGTCTAACCTTGTGCAAGCTACTCACTCACTCTGTCCCACAGGCCTTGATCTGGTGATATTAATATTTCTTTTCTCTTCCTCCTGCTAACCCTACTACTGTGTTTCTAAGGTTTCCAGGAGTGAGTGACTTTTGAGGGAGGAACCAGCTTTTGCTGTATGTGCACTGTATTCTCATAACAGCGACCTAATTTGGGCCGTGGCCTGAAATGCTATCATAACACAAATAATATATTCATCTAAACCTATTCATTCCTCACTACCATATTAGGTTCTGGTCTGCACTCTCAGCATTTCCTCCTCAAATATAAAAACACTATAAATAATGTATATTTAGGACTACTGTCCATCCCAGCCAAGGCAGTTGGAGCTTTTGATATAGAAGCAAGGAGATTGCCAACACTGAATGGTATTTCAGAGAGATTTTAATTCCCAGAAAAGAGAATCTTATCTTGAAATAATCTTCTAAATCAAGCTGATACAGAACACAGGATTCTGTGACTGATTCAGTCATAACCAAGCTATTGCTGGATACAGAGTAAATTATTTAATCTAAAACTGTATCGACCTTTAGTAACCATGATTTCCTTTTGGTGACACAAAGGTAAATGCGCACTGTAGTGTTCTCTCTGTCTCCCTCAACTGCCATGAGAAATGTAATCAGTTCTGCCCAAGAGGTTCTAATTTGTCACTCTGGCTCTAATACCCACGGCACAGCTGCTTGTTCAAATCCAAATAAATCCTGTTGCACTTGTGAAAACTGTAGATTACAAACAAGAAACAAAACAAAGCAAAGGGTGGCAAAGAAACAGTTCAGGAAACAAAATAATTCAGGTGATCTGAAAAGGTTAAACTAGCACATATGGCACATGACGGGGTGGGCAAAATATGGCCCAGGGCTGGACTTGGCCCACCAAGCACTTTCATCTGGCCTGCAGTGCCCACCAACTAATTGTACCCCACCCAGCCCTTCTACTCACAAGAGTGGGAGGAAGGCACCCATGTATACACACCCCCTCTCAACATATCCTATGGTGCCTCACTCCTACGCTTGTGGAGGAAGGGCCCAGTCCAGCCAGCATGCAGCTTCTGAGTAGGACTCTGCTGCAGCTGCTGGGGGACCTGCTCGATTTCTCTGGCATCCTGCTAGCTCCGGGCAGCAGGTAGGGAAGCAGCAGGGGCAGGAGCAGGGCAGCAGGAGAGCTGCAGCTGGGTAAGAGTGCAGAGCATGGGGCTGACAGCAGCACGGAGCCCGCGCCTAGGGGGTGGTGGCAGTGTGGAGCTTGGGTGGGCATGGTGTGGGTGGGAGGGAGTGGGGAAGGACCCCCCACACTCTCCCCATGGTGCGCAGCCCCTGCAGGTGGTGGCAGCAGCAGCAGGCAGGAATGCTTGGGTCACTTGTGCCCGGTGCAGGCGCTGGCACCTGGCAGTGCATAGTTCTGGCCAGCGCTGCACAGCACAGTGAGCAGTGCAGCTTGGCTGGGCCGCGTTTATCATCGGGGCTCTGCACTGTGCACATATAACTCCAGCTCTTGCACACCACTGGAGGGAAGCTCTGTGCTGGAGTCAGCGGCCTTCACTGCTCCCTGCTGTATAGGTCCTGGGACTCTGTGGGGAAGCAGGGGGCACAGCTCCCCTCCACTTCCAGCAGAATCCCAGGACCTGCACAGCAGGGAAAGGTGAAGGCAGCTGGCTCCAGCGTGGGCTTCACCATGGTGACATGCAAGTGCAGAAGCTGCACATGCACAGCAGGGAGCCCCGGTGATAAAGGCAGCTCAGCAGGGCTGTGCTCTTTGCTGCACTAGGGCTTATGCCAGGCATGAGCACCTGCACCTGTTGCTGCCGCTGGTGGGGGCTGTGTATCATGGGGGGAGTGTGCAGGGGGTCCTCATACCTCCCCACCCTACCTCACACCCCACAAATACCAGACACCCACACCCTGTCTCCACAACCCCCCCACATATACACCCCCATACACAT